TGTGTGTGTGTGTGTGTGTCTCATGACTTGAGCTGAGCAGGTGCAGGTCCACATGGGGAGCGCTCTCTGAATGAGAGCTTGTTCAACCACAAAGTCAATGAGTTCGCTGCGTCTTTAGTGATCTGATACGTGGCAGAGGGTTTCCGACCCCTCGATGTGGTGACTGAAGATTTTTTACTCAGAGTTGAGGAGGGTGGGAGGGGTTTATACCTCCTCTTTCTTGGGCCCTCAGCAGGCTCCTTTCCAGCTGCTGATGCAGTTTAAATGTGGCTCAAAGTGAGATACATAAATCCAGAAACAACAGCAATTCAACTTTAATTGTTTTTGCTTGGCTGAGCCCATCAGTGGGATGATGGATCTTCAGCGTCTGGCAGTTTTCCTGCTGTGAAGAACCATCATGCCTTCACTGAAGAAAAGAAAAACATCTTCATATTCTTATTCTCAACTTGTCTTACTTTTACTTTGGCTTGTTTATTTGTATTTCATTACTGCACTAACCTTTTGTAAATTGCTGGTTTCAGTCTGATGAATGTCACCCAGAATTGATGACTGGCTTTGTTAAGGTCAGCGTCACGTTCAATTTGTAAAGGCAACCAAAAGTCCAACTCTCATATTATAGATTTCATTATTTCCTTCACCAGGGAGTTTATGTTTTCGTCTGCATTTTTTGTCTGGAGGATTATGTATAAACTACGGATTATCATGACATTTGGTGGAATGATACGATATTTGGGAAGAATCAATTCATCTTCTTGTGCTAATCCAGATCAGGTGGATTTGTTTTACATTGGCATTTTTCAGTTTTTGTTGATTTCTCAGATAATGATTCATCCTAATGAAAAAAAAAATCTGGAACTGAATTTAAATATTGTTTCATAAAGGGACTGTTGGGCCTTGGTGGAGGTATGTGCTTTTATTTTGTATTTCAGCTGATTTTGAGTTGATTTTGGAAACCTTGTTAAACTAAACATTCATTCAGATTAGACGTTATAATTATAGTTTTTTCCCCCATGCAGCAACTGAAAGAAACTTTACAGGCCTGGATCACTCATGACAGCTGCAGCCTAATTCACAAGTTCTGAAAAACATTATATTAAATAACAATAAACATATAATAATGATATTTTTATCTCTGATGCAAAAAAACTGAAAAGATTTCCTGCCACTGTTTTTGTAATGATTGTAGTGTGAATTCACTCTTAAAGTTAATGGTTAATGTTAAATGGTGCTCTATGTATGTTTGTGTGTGTGTGTGTGTGTGTGTGTGTGTGTGTGTGTGTGTGCAGAGACTTACTCAGCCTCAGAGTCTTGAACTCAGGCAGATGTGATGATGCACAGAGCTGATAGAAGACGTGATAATTCCTCTCCTCATCCGCCTGGAATAAAGAATGAACTTGAATTGAATACATCACATGGATGTTACTGATCAGTCCTTCACATATTTGGTGCTAATCACAAGCCTTTGTCTCTTTTTCCACCCACATTCATGCAGTGAAAGTAAACTTCATCATCTGCTTTACAATTACAAAGTTTGACAGTTTAACACCTAGAAGCTCCACTGAAGCAGTTGGCAATTTAATGCTTTGCTCAAGGGCATGCCAACAGCCAGGCATGAAGTCTACATGTTTATTTTACCAAACTCGTATTTCCCACGACAGACTAAGAACATGTGACCCACCTGCTCTCCACCTGACTGATCATATTGTATATGGCTAAAACTGGCCAATAAAATTTTAGCAACATCTGTGAAAATAAAAAAAATATTAAAAGGGTGTGCTATAAATGTGCTGTGAAGCTGGGAACAAAACGTTGACTCCATTAAGATTTGAAGTCTTTTACCTGCGTCCTACATTGGTGCTACTACACCCAAACACAGAATGCAAACACACACACACACACACACACCTGTAAAAAGGGTGGTACTGGAGCCAAGCATGTGAAAAATGTGAGGAGGAAAGAAAGCAAATCTCTAACACAACTTCCTCGTTCCTCAACAGCGTTGTCAATGACAATAGAGTGTGTTTGTGTGTGCGTGCATTCGTAGAACAGGAAAAAAAAATGTTTCCTTGACTCTGCCCTTCTCTCTCCACTAGTGAGCAAACATAAACATATCTGCACAGAATAGAAATAGAGAGAAGCAGGATTTGTAAAGTAAACTGATGCAAATCACTGAAAAGTTAATTCACAAGATCGCAAATTTTAGGTATTGTTTATCTACATCTGGTGACATGTAGTGTTGCAAAAGGTCAACTAGGAGAACAGAATAATCTCTTGTCCAGCATCTTACCAAAGGTTTCATACTTCAGATGATGTCACAATTCTATACTATTCCATTTTTCAGCACAATCATGCATTTCTTTGCAGTTGTGTTTGTGTTGCTAGGTTGAGCAGTTTATTTTTTAAATTTCCTCAATTTCCCAAGTAATAATTCATCGATTTCAATGAAAGAAATCACACATATATTAAAGGGGACTGATATTAATGAATATGTGCAATTTGGTGCAGAATCAAAATCCTGATCCAACAGATTGAAATAAAGAGAACCTTGGGCCTTGATGGAGGTTTACACTCCACTGAGTGACCTTTCAGTTTACACTGGTGTAGTGCTATATTTATAGCACTATATTTATAGTGCCAAAAACCAGCAACATTAACATGTTCAGGAACACACACACAAGGACACTTTGGCAGGAAGGAAACTTGCTATAAGGAATCCAGGTAATGTGACAGAAGAACACAACAACGCTACTGTGACTTACGACAGCTTTGAAAACCAGACAGCTAAATATAGGTAAGGGCTATTTAAATACAGTATATTGTGTTATGTTGAGTTCAGAATAAAATGTAGGCGTGTGCAAAGGTTAAATTTGTTCATTCGTCTATGATGCCTGAGGCAGTTGTAATAGACCGTAATGAGTGGAGGGAATTAAGTCACATCCAAACAAAGTCATGTGTATGTGTGTTCATGCAAACCCAGAAGTGCGTTCGTGCGTTCACCTGAAAGATCACTCGAGATTTCTCCAGCAGATACGTTCTCATGTTGGCACCGATGATACGGTAGCGGTGGTCGAAGCCGATCTCGATGTATTTGCCAAAACGACTGCTGTTGTCATTTCTGGTGGTCTTTGCATTTCCAATGGCCTGAGTGACAGAGGAAAAATACATTTTATTTAAAAGCAATTTTATTTGAACTCTACTGAGCAGAAACTAGTTCCAGCTGTCGCAGAAGACCTCAGCAGTAGAGTGAAAGGCAATTTTACCTGTGTTATGAAAGCTGAAGTGACGCAAAATGTACAAGGAGGAAACAACTATATCTTTTAGAGATAATATGGCTTTTAATAATTGAATCAACAGTTGAACCCCATGTCTGTGTGGCTTTTATCTGTGTACTCCAGCTTCATCCCTCAGTCCCAAAAACACACAGGGATAATCGGAGATTCTAAATTGCTAAATTGGTAGGTGTGAATGTGACTGTGAATGGTTGTTTGTCTGTATACGTCGGCTCTGCCCTTTGCTGGTGAACTCCTCTTATCTAATGTCACCTGGGATTGGCTACAGTCCCCTACAACCCTCACTTTCTTTTTATATCAGTAGATTCATACCACACACTCTCTGTAAGTTAAATTTGGAACTATTGCTGGCAGCCTAACTAGTTAGCTCAATTTAACAGCCTGCCTCGGTCTGAAGGAACAAAATCCAGACCTTTTCTTGTCCAGAAGTGTTGTCACTGATCCCAGCGAGTCTGCCACATTAAGCCCCTAAAACCACAATGTGTGGTTATTGTATTTCTGTTTTTGTCTGGATTAAACAAACAAGATTATCACTGTTTCTTCCTGTTTCCTGTAACTTGTAAAGAGTATCAATTTTCTCATTTAATTCTCATCAAAAATTACGAAAGTACTCTTCTTTACCCAAATGTTAAACTGTAGGATATATGCAGTGACAGATATTTTAAATTTATATTCACCATATTCTAAAACACATAACAATTTTTCAGTCTGTTGTTATAACCTGTAGTAGACTGCAGTTTATTTGTGGCTGGTCAGCATAGGACAAAGCACTAGTATGTCTTAATGGATCTCCATCCATCTCCACAAGCATACACAAAAGCTGCATCCATTATATGTTGACAGACGTTTCCTGCTGAGCTACTGTACTAAACGTCTGCACACAAATCATTTGCAGTCAGCAGCCTGAGTTATTTATACCAGGCTGATCAATGAACCCACTAAGAATTGTCAGTAGACGGGTGGGGTTGCACACACACACAGAAATCAGCTAGATCACAGTAAATGGTGTGTGAACACAGAGGGTTCTTGCTGAGTTAAGGCCAAAGAGTTGTTCACAATCTTTCCCTGCAGACAAAGCGTCTTTCAGCAGAGCAGGTATTCCAGTCTCTGCCTGCATCAGCTGAACACACACACACACACACACACACACCTGCAGTTATACACACATAAGGTTTTGTAAGATTGAAAAGGCTGACGCAACCATCTCCCCTGCATCCAGGCTAAGAGACCAGTGTGACATCACTGCGACATAAAGAAAGCTTTCTATTCATTTTTGTCAGCTCTTAGCTGATTGGCTAAAGGTGAAAGTGGTGGCTGGGAGGGGGGGGGGAGTCTTGAGCGATGAGGAAAGATGAACATGGTGGGGGTATGGCAGGAGCTGGAGCGGAGTGCAAGGGAGGAGGGTGTTGTGGCATATGGGCACAGGAGGAGTTGGAGAGCCCTAATGACTCTGCAGGAGGAAAAACAAAAATACACACGCACTTAAAGGGAACATTTTTAATTCACTCATTATCACCACTACGCCGATGGAGGGGTGGGTGAAATGTTTGAGTACACAAAACACTTTTGGACTCTCAGGGGTAAACAGTGTTATAGCCAAATCCAATAAAATTGAAGTAACCGACAACCTTGACCTAATAAAACAACTGAGAAATCATAACATACCTCCATACTGCTCGTGTGGTGTTATCCAAGTGTCTGCAAGCCCTGACATACGAAACAGCGTCATTTACACCGTGTTTTTAGCCTAAATGTCCTCTGATATCTTCCTACGAGGTGCACTCACGGACCTTCGGACACACCATTGAATGGCTAGTTCCACTAGCTTAGCCACTTCCAGTTGATTTTTAGGCTTAAAACACGGTGTCAATGACCTTGTTTTGAGTCGAATATGAATGTCAGGGCTTGCAGACACTTGGATGACACCACAGGAGCAGTGTGGAGGCATGTTATGTTTTTCTGTTGTTTTATTATGTCTGAAGAAGAGGTCATGGTTACTTGCATTCTATGGGATTGGGCTGCAACACTGTTCACCCCCATCGGCAGAGTGGTGAGTAGATGATGAGTGAATTTTCATTTTTCAGTGAACTATCCCTTTAAGGACAAGACATGTGTTATCACAGCGAGAAAGCCACCCGACAGCTAGAGAGAGAGAGGAGGAGAGTAAAATGCCAGAGAGAGGCAGAGGAGAAGCACAAACGACATGATTCACAAAACACCTTTACTTTAGAGCATACTGTTGAGTAACTGAGCCAAGGAAACGTGCATCTTCACAAAAAGTGCCAGGAAAAAAGATGCTAGACTTCCACTTTGTCGACAGCATTTTGGATGGATGTAAGAGTCATTTTAAATATGCTGCTTCTACAAAGTTGGAAAGATATGCTTAGAAAATGCTAAGTTTAAAACATGTTTGTTGTTTTATATTTTCAGTATATTCATATTTACTTCCATAGGAACAAGGTTTGATATAAAACTGAAGGTAATCCAGTCAGTCCTCACCTCCATGATGGGATTGGAAGCCAAGACTTTCTCCTCCACATTGGCCTCACTAGCGGAGCCACTGACTGTAGCAAAGTATCTCATGGCATATTTGGCTGATACCGTCTTTCCTGCTCCAGACTCCCCGCTCACAATGATTGACTGGTTCCTCTCATCCCTGACAAGTTGAAAAACAGAAGTGACAGAAAACTGTGAATATCATGAATTACTGTAAAATACTCAGGAAATGCTGTAATTTCTTTACAGACCATGGGTCGTGTCCGTTGTGGGCCTGTCAAGCCCATTCAGACACTGTACAACATACAGGGCAATAAAAACAAATAAATATACTTGATATGAATTACATAGTGGGGTGCAACTGTTTGAGCTGGTACTCTTACACCTTGATGACATTAAGTCTTTCCTGTTGTTCCTGGAAGGTGTAATTACATCTGCCAAGGAGTTTATGTTTTCACCCCAGTCCATTTGTTGGTTGGTTGGTTGGTTGGTTTGTTTATAAACAAGCTTACGCTGAAAACTTTTTTTGTGGAAGGATGTGGTAGGGTCGGGAAAGAAACCATTGAATTTTGGTGCAGATCCAGGATCTTTGCTTTCTTAACATTTCCAGTTAGGCCAGTTAACATTTAAATTTTCCCAGGGACTAATACATGGGTATTAGATGGGTCCAGATCAAAACGTGTGTGTAATTTGGTGCAGTATGATTGAATTTAAGGGGACTGTTGGGCCTCGTCTTAGGTATGTGCTCCACTGAGTTTCATTCTAGTCAAAAGAAGAAGAAAAGATAAAAAGATTGGTATCTATTAAAAGTAATAC